ATCGCGGGAATAGAATATTTATAATAAATTAATCAATAATTAGTAATCTTAATTGGTAAAGGACTTCCTTGTAGCATGGAAGGCGGGCAAGGGGGGCGTGATAGAGAAAGCCATGGCTGGGACGATGCAGTCAGCAGTGTCATCAGCGACCCAGAACACCGCTTTGATTCCGTGGGCAGACCGCCGATCACCATACACAGGGATGTGAGGAACACGTCGGCGCACAATGTCAGCCAGCTTTCGTGCGACTCGGGTCGATTCAGCTTCTCAAGGGCTAGCACTTTGCGTTCTAGTGCAACCACCTCGAGATCTCATCCAGATATTTAGGAATGGAATGGAAGTGCAGCTGATCTCTTGCGCGTCTCTTCCTCTCTACCAGGCTTCCTAGCACCCCTGCTGCCTAGTCTTTGGCTGTAAGCGCGGCCTAGTCCTCGACGCGACCCTCCCAACCCCAGCCTTCCGCCTTGGTCTTCTTGGGCGCCTCGCGGCCTTACCTTGTGAACAGCCTCCAACAACGCCGCTAGCACCAGCGTATCCTTGATCCTTTAGAATAAGACTAGATGTCACCTCGGCGACGGTCCTGGAGGCCCCGATCGATTCCGTCGCCTTTCTGTCGCCTTCTCGACGGGTTCGCCATCACCCTTGGCCACGTCCTCTTGAATGCTCTCTGGTGGATTGCTCGTCTCGACGGCTCGGCATCGGCTTGAGTCTTCACGACCACGCCCTGAGGCAGCTTGTCAAAATGAGGGGTGTGTGGTAGCAGTGCCCTGCATCTGTAAGTTAGCGACGGTGACGAGGTACGATGATGACGACGAAGCTAGGAGCTTAGGTATGGGAGTGCCGATGTGTTGAAAAGTTTACAAACTTGGTATTAGAAAGCTCTTAGGCTAGGTTAGCTTTATTATAGCAGTCAAATTGTCCGTGGAAGACGTGTCTGGCTCTCTTGAGCTTCACACCAACTCTGCAGTAATACGGTCCCTAGAGAACAGGGAAATCGTTGGCGGGCCCTAGTGATACAGGTTCGTAAACATTCAACATGATTTCCTCGAGATGTCAGACGGTTGACCTCGACTGACCGGGACATGGCCGAGACCAGCCAGGGAATTGCCGAGACAGGCCGGGACATCTCCACCAGCCGCATGCTGCCTCGCATGGCTTCAGGCCCTTGGAAGCGCTTCCAAGGGGAATGCTAGAAATATCGGTCGCATCGGGGTGCTCCCAGTCAAAGTCAACACCATCCAATCCATACTGCTACACAATGGACAAATTTGTGCCCTCCAATGCGGCTGATCAGGCCGATTCGCGACGTGTACATGCGGTTGGAACACCGCCCGCGATAGCACCCGCATCATGCATACTGTATTATGTAAACTATTCATGACATGAATCGTTTTCAGCTTGTACGACCAACCTCTTCAACCGCATTAACAAGCCGCTGCGGTAGGCTAAAAGCGCGATGGGTGCCTGCTGTCGAGCATCTTGACGTAATTGATGGGATAATCGCAATGTCGTAAGTACCTCGTTCCGCCTAGCTAACCAATTGTCGGTTTATCTTCATGCCGCTAACTCCACAAGGTCCTGTCCAGGAAAAAAACGAAACCAATCAAGCGAGGTGGGAGTGCCGAAGAGCTTGTCGGCACTCGATAACATTTGGGATTCCCCAAGCAATGGCTGCAGCAGCTAGTCCTACAACTTCAACACATATCTGACATCTGGCTTCCGCCTGCTACAGCTTGGCGACAGCTTCTGCCCTCAACCTCAATACCTGACAAGCAAGTCCCCTGATAGCGAGGGCGAGGACGAGGGCGAGAGTGAGAGCAGGACTAGTAACAAGGGCAACATGGAAAGACATAGATATAGACACAGACATGGCGGGGATATTTTAGAGAGCATTGTCACTTCTGGAGAAGTCTCTGACTTGGTCTGTGGAGAAGGAGGGGACGAGAGCAACGACGGCAGAAATGTCCAACTGGTCGAGCTGTGCTTCCACGATTTGTGGCGCCTGATGGGCTGTGATGGGACTCTAGCGTCTCTCCATTTCTACGGCCGCGAACGCAAGGTCGTTTGCTTCGAAGAACCTCCTCCAATGCCTGACCACCTCCTCCGTCCGAACCGCATCGTCACTCACGACACGATTATGCTCTATGACCCAGACACAGTCCCTGACGAGGACAGTGCCGACACGCTGGTCCCGATGGGCCCCTATGCGGAAGACGACGCTCACGAATTGCCAGATTCTCACCATGTCTATCATCTAGTATCACTGCTTCTTCAAACCCTCCCATAAAGATTCCCAGAACATAGACAGGCAATTCCCGCAAGTGTTAACCCTACCTCCAGGACCGGGGGAATCATCGGACGAAGACGGCGGTTGGGACAACAGCTGGGCGGCTCAGGCGGCATCTACAAGACCCCCGACTCATTCCCTCCGCACAACGACCTAGTCTACAGCCCATTGACGGTACATACTCAGCTGTTGTCCATCCTCGGCGACTACCAGCAGCCAGCCGGGGTGGTATGGGCCATCAACGACACCCACCCCTACGACAGACACACGCCCCTCTTCAAGGCGGTCAAATCCGTCCCAACAGCACCGCCAGACCACCAACCTATGCATGGCGCTTTGCATGAGGGACGAGGAGCTGGGCAGTCTGCCACCAGACCTCCTCCAGAACCTGCCCAGCATAACCAACAAGCAGAGTGCCTAGCATCGCATGCCCATCGGCGAGCTACGCGACGACGTCGGCGCCAAGCTCCGCATGCTAGCAGTGCTAGCAGCCCACACCACCAATCACTTCACCACCGACTACTCCGAGTGCAGCCTCATCGCGCTAGCCCACACCCTCAAAGCCTTAGACGACTTCGCATCTCCAAACTAGGCTGCCCCCTAGTCCCCCAACCCCCTCACCCCATACCCACAACACCACCTCCACAACCCTCCTCCACCTCCTCAAATCAACCCTCATCAGCCCCCAAGCAGCATACACCCAACCCCTCCCCCGCCACAACACCCCAATCCATGGCCGACCTCGCCGCCAACAACGCCGGCTACGACGCGTCCCGCCTGCACCCCCCGCGTCGCCATCACGCTGTCCACGCTCCGCCGCCTGCGCGCTGGCATGCGCCACGTCGACACCCTACTGGGCGAGATGGCGCAGCAGGGCCTGGGTTTCGGGCGCGCGGCGGAGTGTGTGGAGCGGCTGGTGCGGGAGGGGGCGGGGGGCGTGGACGGAGCAGAGATGTGAGAGTTGGGAGGTGTATGAGGCGTGGGTGGAGATGTATGAGGGGCTGTGGGCGGGGTTTTGGGACGCGGTTGATGGGGCTGCCGGTCGGTTGGAGGGTGTTGCGCGGCGGAGTAGGGCGTTACTGGCATGGGTTGATGCTTGAGCGGGGGAAGGGGTGGTGGGAGGTGAGGGTTGTTGATAGTTAGGGGGATGTGGGGAGGGCGTGAAGGGGGAGGAGGATGGGGTGGTTGTGTCCAGTATGGGTTTTTGCCAGGGGTGCGGGAGATGATGGACGATATGATGCAGGCTGGTGAGGCTTTCCAGGGTACTGCTGATGAGGCTTATGCGAGGTGGGTTATGCAGAAGAAGTGGGCGGCTGAGAAGAAGGCCGCTGAGGAAGAGAGGTGGCTCCGGGAGTGGTGCTAGCGGCGGTTCGCTCCACAGGAAGATATCGACGTCGACGATCTGCTTGGCGACGTCAACCGGGACGGGTACCCGAAGATGAAGAAGAAGAAGAAGGTTCTCAAGGATTTTAAAAGCTAGCCGGGATTTGGTGCGGACAAGGAAAGAAAGTGCGAGAAGTACGCCTTGACATGACTCTGGAGCGACAGCCACTGCGACTTTGACTAGGCGTTGGTAGGACACAGAGGTGGGTTTGTGCAATTGGGTTTAGGGAAACTGGTCATTAATTGGGATATATTCTATTACCTTGTACCTCAAATTTATTAAACGTGTGTCATTGTCAAGTCAAGGCTGTCGACCCAAACTTCTTTGTAAAACAATCATGTTTATCATGCCAGGGTCACATATATCTATGGCAGAGCATGACACGTCCCGCGCCAATCCCCTTTACATCTACCAATCGTCCCGCTGCAAGCTGCTTAGCGCCCAATATCCCGTCTAGCACCTACCAAGGATACCCCGCCCCAACCGATTCTACTCCCATTGGTGTCAAAGGCAGCTTCGTTACAGTAATGCCCACTCCATTGACCAGTGAGACACCAACCACGGCAGGGGAGGGGAGCACCAATTAAGAAACGGAAAATGAGACTTGGACCCCCTCTGAGAAATCGGAAGTGGGCATACCCACCCCATACGGCGTCTTCTCCGAGATTATCGCACACGTAACGCCATCCCTCTTCCACCGCAGTTGTCAGCTGTAGTAGATGGCATGACGCACTCTGCAGGAGTTGACTTGCCACCTACTTACGTTGAGTGTGGTGAGCAGGGTAGCTTCGAAGCCGTTGTGTCCAGCTGGGACCTCCTGGATGTGCAACAAGCAATTGACGAGTAGGGCATGGAAAGCAGCCAGGAGCTCCCGTCGAGTCGAACTCAGCATACTGACGAACGACTGTTAGACTCAATTTCACATTGCCAACGGCTGGCGCCTACCTTGGCCGAGAGTCTCTCTAGTTCAAGCTTGATCAGCCTCCATATAAGCTTCCGATCCGATTCCGTTCGGGAGGAGGGATTGGATTTTTCTCTACCACACGTTCTCACAGAGTAGCGCCTCGCCGCGCCGGCAGTAGGAGCAGTGGCTGCACAGCTTGGCGTTATCTGCCACAACGCGGTTGCCAACCTCGAAACCAACCACCTTGGGACTGATGGCAGCGACGACGCCGACGGTCTCGTGGCTAGGGATCAGGGGGAATTCGGCGATGAACCCCTCCTTGTGGATGTGCTAGCGTGGCAGGGTGGCAGGGTTAGTTGCAGGGGAAACCTCTCGACGACTTATAGCATAAGCGAATGTTGTTGACGACGTGACCGACGAGGTGCTTGGTCTGTGGGCAGATCTTCCAGCCAAGGCTGGCATTACGAGACCTGGCCTGGCGAGGTAACATGAGCCGGGAACAACGGCTGGGGAATTTGATTGCGGCTGGCTTCAAAGGCGCTGTGCTAGCCTGAAGTGGGAGGGTAAGAGCTGCTGAAAGCGCTATTGGAATCCAAGACTACCTTGCTAGGTAGGTCCCTCTTAAACTTTGACAGCTTTTTCCTCTTTTGACAGACCAGAATCCCAAATCCCTCATCTAACAGACGCAATAGCCCTCTCTTGTGAGTTCTGTCCATAATTATGCCCTCGAACGTTGGTCCAATGTTGGTGCCCATGCTGGTTATACGCCGATGCAGGCCAACTGCTTGCTTGCTTGCCCTTCTCTGATTCGCTCTGCTACTGCCCCTGAGACACTTTTACCTTGCTTTGACACTCCCCCAATCTGTTACCCTTCCGTCGCACCTCACCTACAGAATCTCTTTGAATCCATTGGCCGTGAACTCTCGTTTGCACCAAGCCCCCCTTCCCGTATATACGCTCCTGATTGCTGTTCTTCTTTTTGGGCGGTAACAAGGCTACCTTTGCGGAAAGTCTAGCTAACCTAGTCAGCTAGGTTTAATTAAAAGGATACTGCAAGGGCTGTGAAGGGACTGCAGAGTAGCCTTGAGTCAAAGAGCGTGATAGCTCCCCAGCAAGACGAGGAATGGCACCAAGACAGGCGCGTGCATCGTGTAAGGCTTTCAACCTCCTAGAAACGCCTAGGGGTTCCAGACGACCGCGTCGGGAAGAACCGCCTACCGGAGACCTTCATCGACGGAGATGCGACGACTGTAGAGGCATTGGCTTGTCTACAGCCAGCATTTATCCAGGACGTCTCGACTCACGCCTTGCACGAGGCGGCAACATAGGTGGTGCCGCCGCTGCTGCCGCCGGCGTCCCCGGAAAGACAGAGAGAGAGTAGAACGAACCGTGAGCTAGGAAAAGGCTATCCGTGGCGTGCGGATTGTGGGTGGATGTGGTGGATGTGGGGGAATTGGCAGTTCAGATGGTACCTACCTAGGTTAAGTAGGTAGGTAAGAATCTTATTTCTACTTTGCACAAGGATGCGTAAGGGGGAAGGGGCAACTCCTGATACAAGGACTTCCTTCTAGCAATATCGGATGTGTCGATTAAATGTGCCGCTTATGCTTTAGAAAGCTGATGACTATAAGACTAGCTAATTAGATCGAGATGATCATTTCAGGGGCTAACACTGCGCGTAGGCTGGCAGCAGTGATCAGGAAGCAAGGCGATTATAACTAACCACCAAGCAGCCAATACCCTTAGCCGACTCGATAATGATGTTCTGGTTCTCAATCATCTGGAAGGCGTTGAGGTTCTTAGTCCTCTTTACGAATTGGCACGAAGTTTGAGTACTCCTATGTCCACCAGGCAAGGCACTGGGCGAGGCACTTTCGGCCTTCTAATCACAGCCTGGAAGCGGCCAGCATTCCAAGCTAAACCGGGGCGATTATGGAGATGGTGTCGTGCGCGGCTGCCGCTGCTGGGCGGCCGAGGTCCGGATCCGGATTTGTATCCCGCCAGGATGAAGATGCGTCCCCAGCCGCCGCTGCCGTCGCCGGCGCCGGACACCACCCCGTCGCCGTCAGCGGCAGCCCAAAGCCGGACAGGCCATCTTGAGACTGGACGGCAGGACTGGCACTTCCAACGGACTGGACCCTGAGGGGAGCCGAGGCCGAACCGGGTAGTAAACATGTTGGGTAATGGGACTGGAATAAAATAACAATCCAAGTCGTTCAGCGTGGAAGCCCCGTTCTTGGGGCTGAAGGGACGGGAAGATCAACCTTTACAAGATAAACAGCGTCAAGATCGCAGTCCCGGTTGCAAAGATGTCGGTACAGGGGACCTGGAATACGTCGAGAGAGCTACTCACAACTTCAACGTCGTCATTAGAACTTGGAAGTTCAAGCCCAGCTGCAAGAGCTGGTCTTGGCAAGCACTCCCATGTGTCATATCTAACCGACCCACAATCGACACATGCTATGCCTTCTGGATCATGTGCCTAGAAGCCCAGGACTTCGGTCGATCACATTCACACAGCCCCCGCACCAGCAGTCGTTTACCGCAGGGGCCGAGCTGGACAGGCACCGCATTAAGACGCTCTACAAGCGCGTCTTTATGGCCAAGGGCCAGACACCAGATCCAACTCCCTGGGATGCCCATCACTAGATGAGGCGGGATGACCTGCTTGCAGGACGGTGATGTTGCTGGAGAGGGTGATGATCTAATTAGTGGATGGGATATTTCGCCCGAAAGCTAGGTGACCATCAGGTAGGTCGTGGACCAACCGCCGAAAACATGATGAGCCTGAAGCCAGGGCGCCTGTCAGGACATTGAGGTTGGCACACGCCAAAATTTGAGACGAGGTGCTGGCGCCAGCCCTGCTCCCCGGCGTCGTCCCAGTCGGCAGATATGCCGTTGTTGGGGAACTCGTCTTCGCCTACCTCTGGGGCGTACTCGAGGCGCTGATGGGCCGCTTTATCATCAAGGGCCGCTACATCACCTCGCGCAACAACTGGGCGATCGACGTCGACCAGGAGGTGGTGGAGGGCTGAGCTTGACAGATTGTCAGGCTCTTTAGCTCCTTTTGGACTTTTCTGGTTAGGACAAGCACCTCTTCCCGCACCGACCACGGAATTGGGAGACATGGCATTGGAGGAGCCGCTGCAGCCGTCAAGGCTGCAAAAAGCAATGCTCTCCCATCTGATAATCCCAAAATGACAAACACCCCACCCCTTCCCCTTCGATTTCAAGCGCCAGAACCCCTCTTCGGCAAGGCTCTGTTTCAAGACGTATTCCATGACAATCTCCTCCTCAGACTTGGCCCGCTCTATCTACTCGCGGTGCGCCCTCTCGGACTCCTCAACCCCTGCCCCGAAGATGAGAACGGGCTAGAGGCCCGAGTGGCACCAATCTTGAAAGCTTTTGTAAAGGCGCGCGGGATTAGAACGGCATCAAGCGGCCTATTCAGTTCCATTGTCGGTCTGATCTGATATCGAGACCCTAGAAAACACATTAAAGCCACAGGAACAGCCAACTCTTCTCCTGCTTAACCCTGTTTGGGAAACAACGACGACTGGACGAATCTAGCCTGCGCGATAGTTTCACACTCTCTAGGATAGCGGTACATCTGTCTGAGCAGTCGCAGTCTACCTCGAGTAAGCCCATCAATGCATGGTTGCATGGGGCTACATTGTAACTAACCATGGGTTCATTCCCCGTCGTCAGTAGGGAGCTTCAAGAGATCGTCTAATTCAGGGTTGCGTTCCATCACGCTAGTCTCGATACCTAGGACCGTAACGCCTTACAGGGACCACGGGGCACCGCTGGCCCGGCGTATCCTCCTGAGTCTCGTGGCGGACGAGAACAGGCCCGCGTCACCGTGGGAGGCACATGACGACCACGTGGTTGCTCTAGAGGAGGAGTAGGAGATGCGATTGGGTTGACACAAACGGACGGGCTGTTTTAGTGTCAAAAGAGGCCCAGATCAAAGTTCATCAATCCCAACTTACTATGGTCAATACTCAATCGAAACGGAGAAATTCCCCAACATCGACTTTGGAAGTAATGGATGGTGGGCGAGTCCCTTCCGCGGCATTGATGCGGTTGGAGCTGTCCCCGCTACCAAGGAGCTTGTAGACGTGCGCCTCCTGTTTGCATTTGTCGGCAGTGAGGCGTTCCACAAAGGGTGACTTTCGACCCTCGACTCGACCCTCGTTTGGCAGCCCATCAGCCCGAACCTGAACCCCAGCCGCAGCCGCAGCCGCAGCAGGAGCCTGGGGATGAGATGGCCTAGTTTCCAAATAGGAGGCGTGGTCAGCCTGTGGATTGGGAGTGACCTGGCGGTCTAAAAAGTACCGTGGAACGCTCAAGGTGGGTAAGGTCGGCTGGGGGGGGAGTGACCATGGCCGGCCGGTCAAGATATGCTCTCGGTGCTCGTTGTCCTTGACAGTAGTCTGGGCAGAGATAGCCTCGATGAGGTCCTTTTCATCTGATGATGGAGTAGCAAGGATCTGCTGGTAGCCTCCTTCTAAGGGATTGGTTCCTTGCAGCAGCTTTGTTCCTCGTCTTTGAAGAAGTCTATATCGACAGGAACCTTGACAAATTCCGTGTCGCCAGCAGTTTGGGGGGCGGCGGCAGTGGCTTGTGTTTTACACAACCATGGATGCAGCGGCGGCAGAGAAGCATGTCTAGCTAGTTTGGAAGCGCTACCTTGTTCCTGTAACGGTTCTAGGCTAAGCCTTGCTTTCTTATGATATACATGTTGTTGCCGTTTGCGCATGGTGAAGACATTGGCGGTTGCGACGTGGGTGGCCAATCGTCCGAGGTGCCTGTGTGGCAAAGCTTGGGAGCAAAAAATGCGGGCGTGCACACCGTCTTCGAAAGTTTAGGTCGCCATCGAAGACACATGCCTCAGACTTAGAGGTGCTCTCATTGGGCTTGCTGTCGCTCCTGTGGCATGAATTGGACCTGTTAGCTCACAACTATTGGCAGATTGGCAGCACCCTTGCGAAACTCGTCTACTTCTCCAGGGAAGCACACTCGACAAACCCCAGCAGTTGCCTAAACTTGCTCATCTTCGAGGCGAACCGTATGAGTGATTGCATTGAGTCTATGAAGAGTCCCAGGCCAGTATCCAATCGATCGAGAATTGTATAATATTGACGTCGGCTGGCTAGAAGGCAGGCCTGGCTGTTCATACAAGTAGTGTACATGTATCTCAGGAGGTCATTACCAAGGGCTGTGCCATGCTGACTGGCCAAGCATTCCCTTTCCCGGTGTCGAGAATGTCGGGCACAACAACTCAGGCAGCAAACAAAAGCCGTTGCTTGTCTTCTGTGCCGCACCAGTTGCCAGCCACACCTATCCAATCTACCGTCGCTTCTGCTCCGGTCTTGCTTGCTGAGTCATATGGTTTTGTAGATGCGGACAAACATGACGCTCAGGGCCTCGGTCTCCTTGAAGAGACTGAATCAACCAGCGTTATCCTGACAGAGCTGGCCACCGATGTGTCCAAGTCAGTCGCTACCAAGTCCTCCTACTCAATCCCCGAGAACGCCGCGGAAGAAGGAAAGATATTATTTGTTGACCGGAGATACATGTCCGTACATTAGATGTTGGCGATGATGGTCTTAGAGCGCCAGGAGGGCCGCCGTCGCGAACGTGATGAACATCGCCGCTACAATTCGGAACATCGGAAGTCAAAGACTTGTTGGATGACGAGGACCTCAGGCGGATAGAGAGGTACGTTCGCTTGCTCTTGCAGCACGCTGCATGGCTGGACGACGTTCACGGCGAAGACGGGTGCTGTACAGCAACTCCGTCACGGCCTGGGGTCATCTTATCGGGCGACGGCGCGCAGTTCTGTGTCGATTCCGGACCGAGACCCAGTTCCTCGCCGTACGGGCTGGTGACGCTAAAAATGCCTAGCAATAGTAGAAAATAACTACTAGCTAGCTGATCAGCCGTCCTGGCTGATCAGCGGCCTTGTAAGAAAGTGAGGGCGGTCTCTGACCGTATATTCGAAAAGTACTTGTACATGGTTGCATGCTGTCTCTAAGTCACTTTGAAAGCCAGAACGGCTTTCATACACTCTCTCTCCTTCACGTGACCTTGCATGTTCTGGAACTTTTCACCCCTTTTTCAATATAAGCATGCGATATATAAGGCAACTTTTTTTCCTCAGAATAAAGTAAATGCAGGCCCACAGCGCTGCTGCAACCTCCCTGTGTGCCGATTCCAGCATACAGATACATTGACAGGCAATGACAAAATGACATACCCACCCTGCTACCCTTAAGATGTAGCAAAATAAATTATATCAGTCTGCTCCTTAAGTAATCGCCATCAATAATGCCATCATACTTTTTCGTAGTACTGAGTATTTAAGCTAGGTTGCCTGATAGGACACAAAATGTGTACATTGAAGATATCTTGCGAATAAGTCGGTAGCTGGAAAAAGTGGGACCTATGTTAGATGGTGATAAGCAATGCAGGTCTAAAACAGAAGACTGGTATTATCTTGTGTAAGTTGGAATATAGGTGAGCCAAAGTTGAGATGGTGCAAGTAGGTACAGATCCGTATCCGTACATCCGTACATACTCCGTGCCCTTGCCCCGCCCCACTTTATTTGGCCCTCGTGAACTCGCACCAACTTTGTGAGGTGTGGATTTGAGACCGAACCGAGCAGAGCGTCTTATGTAAGAATGCCATGGTACGTACTTCCATCCTCTGTACGTGTCTGTACCTCTCGCAAATTTGCGGAGGCTGGTTACATAAACATAGAGATATTGTTTGCTGTGCTCTTGAATTACCGAGATGGCGTCGTCAATTTCCTTCTGGATGAGTTTTCCAAGCCCCTTTGTCATGGCACTTCTTCTTCTCCTTGATGGTTGTGCAGCACCTCTCTAAAGTGCAAAGGCAGGTCGATCATCTTGCCCGCTGTCTCGACCGACATTTGGAATTCCGCCTCCCCTAGCCGCGTGGGCAACTTGGCCAAATCCTGATTCGTCTTGACCAGGGCAACAACGTCCAACAGCGTGGCCTATAGAACGCTCGAGTTGCATTTAGGAGAGGAAGGCAGGGACTGGATGGCGACGAGGAAGAGGTGCGGGGTTGGCAGCTAAGGATACGTCTGTGCTATTGGGAGCCTGACTCCCGTTGTTAGTCAAAAGCTCTGCTTTTCCTGTCCTGTTTCTCCCGAAGAGCGTGTTATCCAACCCATTGCCCTGCCATACTCTCTTGCGGCTAGGAAGCTGCGCTGAAACCGCAAGATGCCAACAGCAACGAAGACGTATGACATGCTGCACCACCACGGCTCCTCAAGGGGCCAAGCTGCCTGTCTAAGAAACCGAGCTAGTCAAGGCTGGGCTCAATGATTGGGTTAAAGACATATGGAAAAGGGCACAGTGAGGGAATGAGCTGCCGCGGAGGAAACGTTGATACTCGGCATGTTATGGAGTTCTTGTTTAGGGCTGCCGTGAAGGCCTTCCGTCCCAGGATCCTCAATCTCTTTCTCAGCATTGCTAGAACGGCTAGGCCTGCTTTCTTGCAGACATCTCCGCCGTTATTCGACTAACCACGAAGTCTTTCTTTGTGGTGTGTTTTCCGGGAATCGTTGTGGCGGCGTAGCTGCTCATTTGTTGCCGCCACAATGCGATAGGTGAGTATCGTCACCGCGCTATCGGCGTCTAAACTAAACCGTATATGGTAATGCATGGTAATGTAGACTGTTTCTGCTGATAAATGGGTCCTTGAAGAAACAGACGGTTTGGTTGTGATTGTTGGCGTAAATGAGAAACCTGTTGTCGCCGTTGTGAAGAATGAGCTCTATGGTTAATGACATTGTCGAAGCGAATGAAGAATCTCCAATGAACTAGCTACGTAGTGATGTAAATATATCTTGATATTCTTTTCAGCAGCCAAGGGACTGTTTGACTACTAGGGGATATTTTCCGGGGTAATTCGAGTGGAACGCTCAAGTGGTGGGTGCTTCTCTGTAACGACGCATGATTCAAAGCAGTAGTTGTACAGCTAGATATACTTTAATGGACATTGATCTTCCGAACATTGTCTATGGGTTTATTAGACTGCTGGTATTGGAGATATGAGTGAGTGACGCGGGAGGTAAATAATAGCCCCCGTTTTTTCTCACGCGCAAAAATCTACGTAATTTGTAAACAATCCCAGGCGTGGCTTAAATATTACTTCAAATGTCCCCAACATACTCTTACTTGTCAATATCTAAGGACTACCCCACCCCCGACAAGACAGGACATTTGTATCCGAGTGGGACAAGGCCAAGAGGGTTTCAATACCACCAGAACGCCTGACACCCATTCAAGAGGCTTTACGGCCCCTTGTCTCGTGGCTGTGGTGCAGGAAGATACAAATATCTGCGATTTTCTTTTTCTATAACAACGTCCATCTCCTACCATCCATTGTCGCGAGTAGCCAGCCCCTGGTGATACCCAAAGGCCGGCTGCGTGTGGCCTTCTCCCACCAACAATCCACGGGCCGTCTTGACCAGAGCATTGGTCCCTCTCAATGCGCCGTACCAACACTGGCTGTGGGTGACGGCTATGGTAGCTGTGGTGGCTAGTCTGTCGACCTGCCGTCGCTACCACCGTCAGCTGATGCTCCCTGTTCAGCCAATCGGATCGAGAGTTCTGGTATTAAATCAACTATCCATTCCATGCTATGTCATGCGTTTTCTCCGTATTTCTCCGCGGGCTTGGTTGCTTGTGTGTGGTGGATTCCTTTCCTCTTCTCGCTCAAGCCCGATCCCGATGGCGGCACTGGACACGCGCCAGCGGTCCCAGTCGCAGGGATGGCTGCTAGGGCAATCGTGCTGGCGCCGGCCTAGGGGGTGGTCGAGCCAAAGACCTGATTACGATCCTGCGCCGCCTGCCATGGAGACAACATCCAAGATCACCTTGGACGCGACTGCCCCATTCCACCTGCGCGATGCGTTTAAACAGGCACATTTGCGTAACGCCAGTCCGCATCCATACGCCCCCCGCCTAGACCTAGGCCTGCCCAGGCGACTTCCCCTGCCGCAGACTAGGCGACATAGGGAGGAAGTGCGCGAGTGGAACCTCAGTTGCCCTGTCGCCCGGCCCGACTCCTGCCTTGACATTGCGCACCACACACTTCACCGGCATGGCACTCGCCCTGCGTGCACCACTGCCGTTGGGGCGCAGGCGCCCTTGGCCAAAACGAGGTGCCCGCAGATATAATTACCTGCCACTGCCAGCATCTCCCACTACTTACATCCCCTTCCATTTTCCAGAATAACCCGCAGCCTGCACAGCAAGGACGCCATTACTCCCCCTTGAGGGCACCGTGCGGTTGGCGGTGTAGTAGTTGAGGCCTCTTCTCCTCACACTGCGACGGCGGCCATGGGGCGGCGCTGCGGGGGGAACGGGTGCGCCGGCCCGTTGCGCCGGCTTGGGAAGGCTCGTGGCAGGCTGCTTGTCGAGGAAGTATCGGACGTGGTAATTACCTACTCGTCTGGCAGATTAGTCGCGCCTGAGATGCTAGGGACCGAACCTCTTTGGCAGGGGTCCATCAACGCGCTCACTATCACCGTAATAAGCACCGGGGTCGGCGAGGCCGGTGGCCGGCGGACCTGCTTGCGGCACCTGGACACGAGATCACCAACCGCACGATGATCTTGACCGACCACTGACACCCGCAGCAACGCGCGCTTGCCGTCTCTCATCCACCAATTCATACATTTCTCCACAGATACCCATTGGTTTGGATACCGTTGACTACGAATGCAAGCCTCGTTGCCGTGGGTTGCGCAGTACCAAAATGTCGTCTTTGCGTCTGGGGGCGGGGAGAAAAGTTCCGGTCGGTCCATCCGAACCGTTGTAGCCGTTCAACGTGGTCAGAAAGTATAATGTACTTGTCTAGACAGAAGGGAGTGTCTGACCCTTTCTTTTCCATTATATTACCGCTATTTGGGTAGGTGTCTTAGGCTCCCGCGAAATTCGTTGGGGCTCGCACTACGTAGAGAATGGTGTCGTAAGTCGGTGTTGTCTTGAGGATCTTTTCAAAAACTATTAGCTTGAGTAGAGGTTATGGTGCGTGTGGCACGTGAAGGTAATACGGTCGTCCACAGCCAAAGTGTTGCGTCTGACGAGATTGCTTGCAATACGCATGGCGTTGCAATACTTTCCCACCGCTCGATAGAGGCATGTGCATACGAATATGCAGAGGTATTGAGGCAGACAGCCAGGATAAGAGCAGAACTTGGTCTTTGTGGCAAGGACGCAAGGGCTAGCATAACTACAGCTTGCTACAATTCGCATTCTTTGCGCGGTAATTTTTCCTGGAATCGTGTGTGCTTCTGGAACCACTTTCGTGTCATCCCTGCAAACAAAACAAAGAATGGCGGCGTGCCAATCGGACCGAACAAACACAGCTGGCTCTGCCTGGCTTAGTCCCCCCCCCACCCCGCCGTTGAAGATGCTGGTCCTGTTCTCCCCCGAGGCGTTGTAGACGATTTGCCCCTGCTTTCCCGGATTTCAGCCCGATCCACTGTTTCTAGTACATACACTACACTCAGGGAGTCCCGAGCGTACTTCTCGGCGATCTTGACTTGGTTGCCAAAGCCAACGAGTGGGCAGCAAATAGTTGTCCCTCGGATAGAAGAACCGATGGCCAATGGTAAAATCAGACGGCAAGTGACGAGTGGATTTTGCGTTGAGGAAGATGAGGGGGCGGGGGAAGAAGGAGGTAGGTGATCGGTCGGGGGATCTCATGGTTATGCAATAGGAAGAGGAACGTTGCAGGTTGGAACCAACCCCTGCCGTAGGCTTTGCATCACAAGTCAAACGACTCTGTGCTAGCCTAGCACCCAAGTTCCTTGCTTATGCAGATAGAAATCAACTACGCTTAGATTTTATACGCATAAGATGAACTTAGGCATCTTAGAGACGATGGGATTGTTGTCCCAGACGTTGTCAAAATACGTGATATGCCTAGGCTGCAGAAGGTGGAGATAGCAAGGGCATGCCACAGCCTCGCCTTGCTTTTGAGGAGACATTAGTGCTTGTCTTTTGCAAAAAGATGCGGATCCTGATTCCGTAGCTAGGAGGCATTCGAGGAAGTTGAATTCCAAGCGTTTGGTATGTGAGAGACCCGTCAGGGCGACCGCCTGGTATTGTTCTTTTGCTGGTTATACAATCCAGCAAGTGTTGTTAAGGTTGCCATGTCATTAGAGCCATCCTCGTTATAACGGCAAGTTTGTTAAATGCTCATCAGATAACTTCTCCTGGAGAATGGAACCAGTTACGCGACATGGCCAATGGGAAGAGCCAACGCGGCATGCAGTCTTGAAGCTCAACAGTCAGAGCTGGTTGCTTGTTACTGCCGTGTACCCTCGGGGAGTTTGCTGTGAGAGACCTTGGTTAGAGACCCAGACGAGCGCTTGAAGACTGGGACTGGTTTGGGCTCTCTGTCACAGTACACGACTTTGCAGCCTTTGAGTTGATCACGCAGGTGAGGAACGTTGACAACACACCCGATTTAACCTTCGTCACCTCCAAGGCTAGGCGCAGGCTCCTACGAAAGATTCTCGTCTAAGTCAAGAATAAATCGTGGAAACAGGAAGACGAGAGGAAGGTCCTTATCAGTGAAATAGTTCATCTAGATAAGCTGGGGTAACAGGGGGTTAAATTTGGCAAAAAGGGGAGGGAAATGGTTATGCTTTTGTGGGTTGACTGTAGGGGACTAATCGTTGGATGTAATTGCTTGGAAAAATGCCTTCAACAACTGGAGGACTACAATATCAGTCCGGGGTTAGGACGACTTTTGTACACAGCCCATTGTGTTCCATCTCCCAGAGTTGCCCCGACATGAAAGTGGGTCAGTGTGGCTTGTTATGTGTGCGAAAAAACATATAACAAGCCACAACACGTGTCAATGAGGAGCTTTGCTAACAATGACATCATCACTGATGTCAGAGCACATGTGTGGAAGCAATATCAACAATTATACTGCAAGACTACCGTTCCTCCATGATGCGAGATACTTGTAGTTGACATGGTGGAGGGTCGATAGTTGGTATGTCCGCATGCCATGGATCTGGGTGACGTAGTATTTGTCTGTGGTGATAGCGGGATACAATTCGCATAATCGAGATCTGCACTAGACTATGAGCAGGAGGATTATATCTAACAGGAGGCTGCCGGGGGCTTCTCCCTCGCAAGAGCGCCTTTAACAGGTCAATGGTTATGCAGGACCCGGCTATCCAATGGGCTACACTTCAGCTCGTGGTGCCTAGACTGCCTATCAGAAGTTGGAGCCGAAGCACCCGGGCACACAGGATTAGGCGAGTCAACCAAGGGGTAGGGACTGATGAACTTAGTGGTTCCTCCAGCGATAGCAAACTGTCTTTTGAACAAAAGGGATCTGGGCGAGAAGGATCTGATGATGGAAGGACAGTAATCCCCGACGTGTAGCCGTCTATCTCGAAGATTCTCATCGCCGCCGAGAACATCGAGAACGCCATCTCGGACTGGCACCAAGGGCGGCACCACCATCACCGTCGCCGCCGCCGTCATCACCCCCGACGTGTACCCGCCTGGCAGTAGTAACAGAAGGAGCATACTCCCTGCGTAGCCAAGAGGCAGTAGGCACACTGGGATTTCGAGAGAGTATCTAGAGACCACCAGAGAGGCCGCTCTTTTGGAACCCAGCAAGAAACAGTACTTCTAGTACCATAACCTTACTGTCATGATTTCCAAGTGGCAAATACCCTTCCTCAAGTGACAAAGAAAGACTAGGGTGTTATACACTGGCTTGCAATCTTCTCATGCGTTGTTTTCTACAGAATCACGCGGTTCAACATGCAAGGGAACCTTAGACTAGGTAAGTGTTCAAACCCATGTTGTGATTTACTCGTCATGCTTATCCTTTCCATGCGCTAGACGCGACACCGTCCGTGGACCCATGAGCCAGGAAGCGTCGGCGGCGAGACCCCGCTCAGCGCGCCGGCCACCCTGGAGCGGCGCAACGCTTGCATTGGCGGTATATCTGACCGGGGTTTGTCGTCGGCATGTTCTGCGGTCTCGGCCCCTCTGAAGTCGGTGTAGACGAATCGGGCGTCGTTCTCATACAGCACGTCCAGATAGGCTAGGTCCATGCCGGGCCGGCGCCCGGTGGGGGTGTCCCGAGGCGGCAAACCGCTCGGCGACGTGCATGGCGAAGCGGGTGGCGCAGGGCAGGGCCACGGCGTTGGCGAGCATCGGGTAGGCAATGCGTGGGTGGGACTCGTCACAAGACCTACCCTGGCACAGCTGTCTTCCTCTAGAACCTCCTTGAGACCATGCTTATACACCTGTGCCTCGTCGTGCTGCGACCACTCTGGGCTGCGGTTGTAAGCGGCAAGCTTCTTCTCCTTGACGTTGTAGGAAAACCACTTTCTTGAGCTGGTTACTTGCGCAACAGAGGCTAATGCTAGCCAATGTGACGACCATGACATACCACTAGATGCCCAAGAATGGGTCTCTAACGGGCTGGATGGCGACGATTGTGGTGCCCTTGCCGGGCTTAAACAACACCAGGAGTATTAGCTTTATAAGCACAAGCGATATAATGCTGACGGGGATCACAACGAAGAACCACTGGCTCCATGTAGGCAGGGGATCCATAACGCCGTCAGCGCACTGTAGCACACACATTGTCTGCGCTAGAGAGGGAAGAATGCATGCATGCATACCACTTAAGCCGTCTCGTGCCTTCACAGCTGCTCCAAGGCTGCCTTGAGCAAGCAAGTCGACAGGATCGTAGTACTTGTAGACCCTGTTCTCCTTGTCGCAGCCCCTAACAGCGGGCGCCATGTAGGTCGACACAGAAGCCCCGCAAGAAGAAGCATGAGAAAGGAGATGCCGAGAAAGAAAGCCAGATTCCAGATCTGGAAACGAAACTGAGAGACTGCGCAGAATCGGATTACAATACTCGGATTGATACCCTCCGAGGCCAGCATCATAGCCAGGAAGAAAACCTCCAGGACAAGATCTACGACACTGAGGCGAAGCTAAGCGAGGGACAGAAGGATAGATGGAGTCTGGAAGATACGGCTACGCAGCAGATGAAACTGCACTGCGACGTTGAATCAAGCGCAGGGTAACTACAAAATCCAGGCCTAATGCTTTAGTGCCAAAGTTCGCACCTCTGCCAGCCCAGGATGTTCTTGATTTGGTGGTGGGGGGTGCAGAAAAGGAACAGGCCAAGAAGGCGGTGCGGAGGGCGGTGCGGAGGGCGGGCGAAATCGGAGTGCTTAAGTGTCTGCACCCTGACTTAGAAGGAACCAGGGCCTTGTTGTTGACTGCGTCTTTTTGCTTGACTGACCCTGTCATAGGGATATCTAGAACGAGAGTGTCTGCATTGGCGAGATACAACTCAGTTCAAGGGCCTTCTGTGTCACAAAATGGTCATCGCCATTGAAAATTCAGTAAGTTATAGCTATAAGCCAGTAACCCACAAAACCCAACCATGACAGAACTAGCTACTGACACTCGGCTTGCCTAGGACCTGCGCCATGCGCAACAAACTACCGATTTGGTTGGTCTGTCGGTCATGAAAGCAACAGAGATGTCGTTGGCTGTGGGGGAAGGAAAGAAGGAGGTCGGTCTAGGCGGCAGGCGGAAGCAGGTTGGGAAGACGGGGCTGAGCAGGCGGGCGGCGGGGCAGGCCGGGTCGGGTCTGCGTCCTCGTAGGCGGCGAGGACGGCGTCTGGGTTGGCGGCGCGGTTCGGGGGACAGCTTCTGGGTGAACTGGGGGGCTAACCCGGGGCTGGCGGTGGGAAACCTGGCCTTGGCGCCTGCGTGTGCTGTTATCTAGTGCTCTTTGGGCCTGGCATTCAAGGCTATGGAACAGACAGTATACTACCTAGCCCTTAAGCTGGTATTGAGGAATTGCTAGCGTATGACTATATTGAGCTGGAGCGCGAGGGCAGCGGGGATGGGGGGGGTGGCGGGGGCGGTGAGTGTGTTCCCGGTTTGATTGAAAAAGAGCAGTTCGCCAAGATGAAGGACAGCGTCTTCCTCGTCAACACCTCCAGGGTGGTAACAAAGATCTTGATCTAAGAAGGTCCACGGGTACTCTGGGAGGACGAACAGGTGGCTTAGCGAAGGGACAATAGATTATAAAGGCAAGCCGGCTGCCAGGAAACCCTGAAGACGACTCCCCAAAAGCATGCCGCTAGCAAGGTGCGAAACTCACCTTAGAAAAGGTAAGCGTGTCGCTGCCACCGAAAAAAGGCTTTGTGTCGGCAAGTAGGGGCTCCACCGTGCTCCGAAAGAGACGTGGTGAGGAGAAAGGCCTGATTTGAGATAGGACGAGTAGTGTCTAGTAGAAGGAAATTACTTTTGAAGCCTTGAAAGTGCGGACCATACGTAGCTCTTAGGACCAACAGTGTGCAGCAAACAGAGAGGTGGATGCTGTCCCCGGTGAGCGCAGCCCTGGCGTGCAAGTGATTGGCGGTACAGCCCGTGTCCTGCACCACCTTGGTAAACGTCTACTGCGCCGCGTGCGTCCTCTCCAGCGCCGTCGACTTGCTCTTGCCCTAGCCGCCGCCATTCGCTGCCATTCGTAGCCCATATCTACTCGTGCGCCCCGAGACTGCAAACTCCGGCTAGCTAGTTTGCAATTGTTGTCATGATCCTCGATATGCCACTCATGGTTATAGTCACAGTTGCGAGTCGGTAAAACTTTATATACCTTTTTCAAGGAATAGCACAGGCTGATTCTATTGTACAGAAATAGTGTCTTGGTAAGCCAGTCACGTACATTATTAAACTCCCTCTTCGACTCAAGTGGCTTCCACATCCCGTCGAAAAACAAGCTAATCTCTACATTATACGCAAGGCGTCTTTCTTTCTAGAACCGACAAGCCGGTCCACAAGCCACAGTTTGCGGCGCCTGGCGGTTGTTATACAAGGTACAATTTTGCAAAAGCGCTTGAACATGTCAGGGCAGTTCCTGTAAGCACAGACAACCCGATTTAGGTTTCTCGGTCTAGGAAAACCTCTCGGTATCCCCGATAGAGCAGTCGAACGGGCGCGGAAAGTCGAGGGATGCGACTCAATGTCGCTCGGATTTGGAAGCAGAGTCGCCAACAGTCTCGAGGGGGCAATCCTCAAGCGGCCGTGTGGATGACCCGGGGGGCCCGAAATGAACGCGATAGCGCTCCTTCCGCACCAAGGAGGATTTCTATTTTCCCATATGTAAAAGTCTAAATATACCCTGTGATCTGATTTACTCGCCGGGTAACAGGTTAAATCCGGTGGGCTTGAAAAGCCGTTAAACCGAAAAACGAGCGTATCGTGAAGCAGGCCGTCCGGCTCAGAAGGCCGACGTCGAGTCGCCATCGAAGATCGGTGATCGCTGTTTGGTGACTTGGGCGAGAGGAAGCGTGACCAGGAGGGGAAGAGAATCGCTATGGTATTTGAGAGGCGCTGCTAGGACAAGGGGTATGACTCTCGCCAAAATTGGCGACCGGTTCGCCCGGGGGTGTGCGCGCAAACGCGTCGCTAGTGAGCTGCTAATCGACGCGGTACGCAAACTTCGGGATGTCATTGCAAGTAATTAGCGTCTCGATTGCAAAGTTTGACACAAGCCATTATGCGACAGATGGCGTTGGCTCGGCCGTGTTCCCGGCTGTCAGACGCGGGAAACCAGACGTTGGGCGCTAGATTTGAAGAGGTTTTACGCTTGCGGACAAGATTTAGTAGTTGCTATGGTAGTGGTTGTAAAGCACGAAGCGATTCTTAACTCGATATGATGTGCTGGTATCTCGAACGGTCTAGGAAGGCCGAGAATGGAGGTAGAAGGTAATTAACTACCCTTGCTAATGCCCACGCCCAAACCCTTGGATGTTGCAAAAGTTTCGACACCCCGAAAAATAAAAAAAAGGCGCCGTTGCGTAGCTTATAACCTGACTTAGTACAGATGCCGAAGTTAAACTCGTAGGTGGCCTGGCCTAGGGTTGGCTCCGCGACGCTAGACGGCGTTGTCCCGAAATCTTATGCCGCGGCGTGAATCGGCGCGATATGCTCCTAGTTTCCCCAAATTCCTTCCTAACCCTTTCCGTTCTAAACCTGAGGCAAGAACTGCAATATCGACAAGTCTGCCTTTTGGTAGAATCGGATAGATGGGTAATACCGCGGAGTGCGGTTCGCTTCTCAAGCAAGGCCGAGAGCGAGCCGGATCGTTTCGACAAGGGCGCCTTTCGACAAGGGCGCCCTCGACCGCAACTGTGTTTTTGTGAGAATGTGACAAGCCTGTCTGCAGGAAGAAGTTCTCCAAGGTGGCATGTCAGGTTATGTCAGAGAGTTTGTAGCCTGCCATGTTGATGCTGTAGGTCACGATGAAGGATTGGATCTTCCGGAGCGAGAGAAGCGTCTTAGTAGTTTAGTAGCCTTTCTTTGGTTTCTGTTGGTGGCAGGTGATCTCGGCCAAGGCCTAGAGTTTGGGGAGCGAAACAGAAGGCTTTTTGGGTCTACCGATAATCCGCGGGTTTCGGACAAGTCGCGAGCTTGCCGGTGAATGAAGGAATAACGTGTCGGACGTAGTCCCAAAGCTATTGCGCGGGCCGGTGCTACCGCTGAAGGCCGTGTCAGGAAGCAGAGGAAGACGTTAGGACGGCCATCTCCTGGTATGCCACGTAGCTCCGCTGTTGATGCCGACCACCGATGGAAACCAAAGGAAGGGCGTCGATGTGAGACCATCTGTTATTGTTGAACAGGCGACGACGGGGGAAGTCTTTGTCGTCCCCGAAGTACGGCGTGGAACCGGAAAGAGCTCCGCTGCTAGAGTTGTGGTTGGTGAATAACCAGGGAAATCGGGGTTGGGCCGTACGCTCCGTTAAAATCCAGATCCAATTGCTACGGTATCTCCCCTTTATGACGAGACTGGATGGCGTTGGGATGGGTACAAGACGTGGATGGAAACATCCTAGAAAACCGGAGACGGGCTACCCATGCCTGTATGTCTAGTATTAAAACCCGCTGCTAGCCGCACTGGAATGGCGCGTCGCTGTTCTAAAGGACCTTGTCGGCCGCGATGCTGCTGAGATTTTGGATGTTTAGAAGAAGGGAAGATCGCTGGGGGTGCCGTGGGACAACGAGGAGTTTGAAGGCTTTGGAGGTGACTATGAGGAGGAAAGCGTCTGTGGCGTTGAGGTTTTGAAGAGCTGGGGAAGGAAGATCCCCAAGGCGCTGTATGTAGCCTTCTTGCGGAGGAGAGCCGAAAGATTAACAGGGAGTGATAGAGGGAGAAAGTTCCTTACAAAGCAGCCACCGGCTAAGTTGAGCTTAGCTTGAAGACGAAAATACAACTGATCCTTTTGGATGTTGTCGAAGGCGCAGACGTCCCCCGTTAACCCAGCCATAAACCTCGTCTCCGACATGGCCGAGTTCTAGCCACAGTCCTAAACGCCTGCCACGTCAGTCCCGGCAAGTCCGGTTTAGCCGCTTGTGGATGTTGGAAGACTAGAATTTGCAGTCAAAGGTCTAGGGAAGTTGCAGGTAGCATGTTCGTCTCAAGCCAAGTTTGACTGAAGAGTCCAGGAGAAAACGGTCAAAGTTGAATGTTCCCAGCCCTGATAAGAGTGTTTAAGTGACCAAGAGCCAAAGCACCAGGAAAGGGACCGAGGCAGCTTACAACTTACATGCAGCATGCCTCACATGCCCAAAGATGACTCCCAGCTTCAACCAAACAAGTTCAAGGCCTTGATCTGCTGGGGTGGGGACTCTCTGTTGGTGATTCTCTGGGCCTGTTTGGCGATCTGTCGGGGTCTGGGGTTGCATCGCGTTCTCGTCTCGTCATCAGATTATCACTGCCGCCCAGTCTCGGAAACAACCTGGCAATACCCAAATAACCCCCATGATAGCATGAAAGGAAAGGGGCTCAAGGCGGAGAGCGCCATGCTTGTCTCGCCATGCTCGGGAGAAGTGGGGTCAAACGATTCCCAGAGAAGATCAAGAAGGTTTCATATCTGATCCCCTAAGCTGTAAGGTCGACTAGCCTAGCTGCTACAACAGCGCCTCCAGCAAGACGCCCAGCGACAGAGCGGTTCCCCTCGGAAGTCAACAAGCCTCCTTTACCCCCAACCGAGGAGTACAAGGACTAGCGGGAGTAGAGGGACAAGGAATAGATAGGGGTAAGTGCCTGGTCTTCTTGATAGCCTTGGGTTTCGTTGGATCCTTATCTTTGGAGGTCCAATCCCCATACATTCTAGCAATACCAAAGTTAGCAATACCATACACTAGAGCGTCATCGGAGACAAGGGGCTCACTCAAGTGAAGACCCGGGGCATAATTATAGCATTGATTCGAACGTTGTATTGCCCGTACGTGTCGGAGTCACCCTCGGCGAGACACAGGAATTGCCAACCATTAATATACGCCATTTGGGTTGCTAGCAACTAAGGGTGAGGATCGGGGGGAGTGGTGGACCTACCTAGTCACTCGGTCATGTCTCGACGACAGGATTTTCCTACACTAACCAGTTATGTCCCAAGGATTAACAGAGTTCGAAATCCCTATACCGTTGAGTCTTATCTCTCTGTATTGACAAATCTTGTACAAGATGTCCCTGTCACTCAATAGCCAAAATGACACCAAAAGTTGAGAAAAATCGGCCCAAGCAAACCAAACCAAGGCAAGCCAACCAGCTAGCTTGCTTTCTACCTAGCTTATAGTGCGTGCATTCCCATCTCACGATCTATTCTTTCAGCCGCATCATCTATATAAGCCATTCCTCTGACCAGCGAGATTTTCATCTCAAATTACGGCGACTGTACCGCTCGCGTGTCCGGGGTAGAAGTCTCCCGCACCGGAGCCTTTCGGCCAACCAGCACTCCGCTAACTCTCACCCAGAGCCACTTACACCGGGGCACTCCCAGCCTTCCATTTCGCGGCAGGTTAAAGACTGAAAGCAGAGAGTCGAAAACGCTGTAATTCCTCTATGTATTCAACATCGACAAACATAGCAAAGGCAACATCAGCAAACTAACACTAATTGTATACCACAAGCGTCGCGGCAGCCGCCCAAGCCCGGCAGTCGCACATCCCAGCGCGTTCCCAGTGGCAGGAAATAATCTCATCCAGCACCATCCCAGAGGCGCCTCCAATAGACAAGATACACCGTCGCGCAAGAGAGCAAGGCTGCGAAGTACGTCAACCGGGAAGCTAAGGAACTGGTGGCCAGAACGCTCGAGGACCCAGATACGAGACCCGTTTCCGGCGCCGCGAGGGCCGTCTCCGCGTCAGCAGGACAACAGGGGGCGACGGCGGCGCGTCGGGCTGCAGCAATAACCCCGACGGGGTGCCGAAGCAGGAGCCGGCAGGCGCACCTCCCAGCGACAAAGCCCTTGCTTCAGTCACGGGCGCGCTTCCGGAAACTCAGCGCGACGCGCTGACCGTCTACGCGGCCTGGTTTCTTAGAGGCGCGTCACGACCGGTCCAACCCCGGTTCAAACACTCAGGGCGCAAGGTCCCGAGAATCTCGTATTTATTTAGCCAGTATCCCCACGGACTAGAACTCCAACAGGACCCATTGCGAGCTCCAAGGCCGAGTTCCGGAAGCACACACATTACTAGAGATCGTACAGATCTAGTAGGGGAAAGTTAGTCGTATCGCATCGATTTTCCTCGACCTTATCAACGAACCCCTCGACGTAGCGATCACGCTTGTCGAGGCGGACCTTCGCGACGAGCATCTATCAACCGCTCACACACCGAGAAAGATTAACAAATTCCAACAGACGCGGGGCACCGGTACGGAGACTTGGAAAGAAACTATCTTCCGCGCGAGCAGCAGGATCCCAAGCACCAAGAGATTTAGGTGACAGGCTGTAAACGAAGAGCGGCCGATATCACGCTCCCGATATATAAGAGACACCGTTCTCATTGCGTCGTCTTCGGCCATCGGAACCCCGCTTTCCACGCGCCGACCGGCGCCGGGTCATCCACACTATTTCCAGAGGGTTTACCTCGCAGCGAGGCTTCAAAGACGGTCGTTCCAGCTCGCGCCGTTAGGTCGTTGGCGCTGACAGCTTTGAAGATTGTGGGGAAGACGCGGCCGGAAAGCCAGATCGTCCCATGCGCGGTGGTGGTGAGCGTCGCGCCGGCATTGCTCCCGTGCGGAACCGCGAGGTGGCTTAGGGTATGGCTGTTACCCGAGCCGGTCAGCAGCCAGAGGTTGTCGCTGGCTGCGCGCTGCGCCGGCTTGTCGTCGATGAGCAGGAAGGCGATGCCCACCGCGTAGGAGCTGTCTGGCCGCACGTTGACGTCGACGACTGCGCGCAGGAACTCGAGGATGAGCGCGGCAGCAGACACGCCGATGGCAGCGAGGGCCCCAATTCGAGCTCGGCGTACCGTGCATGGCCAGCCCGTGGCGTTCGCCCCGGCGGCGAGGATAGACCACGCGCCTGCAAGGCCACCGGTGAACGGGCGGTTGCCAGCCTGGCCAAGCAGCTGCTTTGCCAGATATCATATTCCAGATCACATCGCCCAGCCACGGCAGAAGGAACAGAGACTCGCGACGGCGACACTAACGCCACCCTCCAGGGTCGGCTCAATTCTGCAACCCCCACAACTGCCGCGGCCCCCTCAGGCGGATGCGCAGGCTTGAGGACAACGCCAACGCAAAGTCCATAGGCTTGCTCCGCGGCATCGGCCTCCGCAAGCTGCTCGCCTCAACGCCCGCCGCTGTGCCCGCCTAGAGCCAAGCGACAGAGGCTGTCGGGGCTTGAGCTAGACAGACCGGTGGTGTAGGGCTCCCATAAGAGACCAAGGTCCTCTATAGCCTTGCCTATCGCTGGAGCAAAGAGCTTCTTGGATATACAGCAAGTTGCCGCAAGCTTAGCATTAAGCTTCAATGTCTCCTTATTCTCCACAAGCACATTATCAATATTCGCATTTAGATCAAGCAGCATCCTAAGCAGCCTTAGGATAGATGCTGTGGCGGGATGCTTTGCAAGCGGTTAGGAGTATCGTCCTCCTTTGTTTCCGCTGCCTGCTAAGTAACACACCTCTCCAATTCTTACAGCAAAGCAGCACATATTCTCAGTACTGGGATGCCTAAGATAATCAGTCGTCTCATTTACATGCTCCAGGCCCATCTCTAACGACATTCCCTAGGAAACTGGATAGGGTCGACCAACAGTCTACAAGACCTCGACATTCACAACCACTCCGACGGCTATTTAGCTAGTCACATGCACTAACGAGACCCCCCCGCGGGCCAGGATCCAGGCGACTTCCTCGGCCCAACCACAGGTTGAGAATATTCAGCTACAGAGCTTTGCATCGTGTGATCCTATGCCAATTTCTCCCTCAACGCGGTCCATGTCTGCGTCGCCGCCTGCCGCACGCTCATCGAAGTCAAGTTGATCTTCCTCCTCCCCTTCCTCGTCCTCGTCTTCCAGGACATTGCAAAATTGTCGCGCGCGTCCCCAACCCCCAGTGCAGATCCAGCATTGACACGCTTAAGAAGGTTCAGCAGCTGGACTGCTACTGCGGCAAGCTCATCCCCTCGGCACCGTCCACGTCTGCATCTAGGGCCCTGCTGACGCCCCTCAATGTCCACTTGCAGGTGAATACCTTAGGCAAGGCGTCTAAGTCTAGCTGCGCCCTAGGTCTTAACGCTGTATCCCTCTGCTGCTTTATCGACAAGCGCTGCCTTAACCTGCAGCTGCTGGGGCTAATGACTATTAGCGTGATAGCGCGATAGCGTAGAGTATAGGGACAATAGCTAAGAATGAGAATGTTGACTTTAAACTAAGGCAGGAATGGCAAGCTTTTTAAAGATATGGTACTATAATTAAATAAACAAAGCGTTTTTTTCAAGTATCAAGAGCTGCTAAGGGATATCTACGTTGATAAACTAATTTTAGGCTCTCTAGCTAGGCTTTGGTCTAGGTAGCGCTAGCGCTTATGCTAGTAGTTAGGGTAATAGGGCTGCTAAAGGCGTTACTATAGGTCTTTGCAAGGCTATGCAAAGCTAGACCTTTAATTTCTACAATCTACTGTCTTAAGTATAAGGTTTTCTATACTTAGGCAAGCTTTTCAACCTATGCAATTAACAATAATGCAAAATGTCTCTCTAACATCCCTATAATCTTTCTTGCAGCACTAATAGATTTTTCCTGCAAAGCATTAAAGACATTCTGCTACCTTTTGCATCTATTTGGCTTGTCACAGGCATGGAAAAGAGAGATACTTAGGGGATTTTCTGCTTGTATATACTATGCAAGTTTGAGACTTGTAAGCATTAGAGAAAACATAGATATTTGCTAACAAGCAAGTATGACTTATACCTTTGCTAATGTCTGCAACATTTCTTTCATGTCTCTTCTAGTCAAGTCTAAGGCTTTACTTTAATGCAATTTAAGTCGCTTACTATTAGCTTTATGCAGCCTATAGGATACAACTAATACGCTTAACTATCTATTAGATGTTACGCCTATAGGTTGCAAAGAGAGGTTGTAAAAGCAAGACACTGTCTAGGTAAAAAGAGATGCCTTTATCTTGCAGCATCTTGTAAGACTTGTTATTCTAGTTAATACCTTTAACGTTGTCTTTTTGTTTATAGCCTAGTCTATTCTAGAAACAAGCAGCGTTATTATCTGCATAGCGTTTTGCTAGGATTGTTTGAGATTTCAATGCCTTTAATCTTACTTAGAGGCATTCTTATTATTGCAAAACTTTTGCTTTTGCAGTTTATCTTTAAGTTTATAAACAAAAGAAGGCTTTTTCTTCTTGTCACTGCTGCAATCTTTATTCTTTTATTTATGCTTGTCTTTGTACTAGATAGCATTGCCTTTCTATTTGTTGCTTTTAGCATCAATTTTAAGATTGCTACTATTATTTTCAAAGGATTTGCTAGAAAGATTCTTGTAGCTGCTGTGTTTAGCATACCCTTTGCTTTATTTATGCTTTGGCGACAAAAGGCATTTGTTGATTATCTCTAAAGCAGTAATCTTATCAAGGAAATGGCTAGGAAAGATCAAGATGCATAGCAAGGCAATATTATATTCAAGAACTTTTTAGAAAGCTTTGCAATTGTCAATTACTTTAGTGTTATCCTTAAGGCAAATAAGGCATTCTAAAGTATGCTTAGCATTAGCAGCTGCAAAGCTAAAAAACGCATTCTGGTATAAAGATAGGCTTATGCAAGACAAAGATAAAGGCATTGCTTGATTGGAAATGTTAGTTGCTTTTAATTAGCTTGAATATTCTATATAGACAGTTTTGCAGCTTTGCATTTTATTTTAAAAAGCAAGCTAAAGTTATGCTGCTAAATCTGCAAGATAAGGTGCGATTAGGCTAAAGATTAGCATATACAACTATACCTAGTAGAAAACTTAAAATTTTATCTACTTTCTTATAGATAAGCTGCTAAAGGCTAGACTAGTAGTTAGGTTAGTAACAACTAGCAAATCTCTAGTATTGTATGTCTCTTTTTTGCTTACTTTTTTTTGCCTCTTTTTTCCTATTCTCTTCTTACCCTTTTTCTCTTCTTTTTAGTCAAGATTGGCAAATATAAGATAGTTAACAAATAGCTTAACTATTTAACTAACCTAAAGGCTATTAGGGTACTTTAGACTAGGCAACTATAGCTAGCAGCCTTGCTAAGGTTATATACATTACTAGCATGCAACTATTGCCTATTTTTTTCCTTTACCTTGCAAAGACTTGATTGTCAAATAGCTTTTTAACCTTAAAATCTAAAAATAGTTGCTTAAAAGACATAATCTTAGTATATCTAAACTAATGCTAAAATGCTTAGTTGCATAGACTATATAGCTTTTATATTTACATCCTAGGATATACTATGCTTTCTAGTTTAACCTAGATTGCATATAGATATTGCTAGTTGTTACTAAAGCAGCTTACTTGACTTTCTTTAAGATTTACAAGATTTATGCAATCTTTTTACCTTTTATCTCAATAGTTAGTCCTAGCATTTATTTCTATGCCTAAGTAGTAGAAAGATAAAAGCCTAAAATGCATTTATTAATAAAAAGAGGAAACAAGATTAAGATACTAGATGTAATAAGGTAAGAAAGCATGCAAAATAGCTATTAACTAACATAAAAGCTATTATAACATTGCAGTAGCAATAGCTTTTTGAGAAATAAAGCAAAGAGGAATAGGAACTTAGCAAGCTAATAATTTAAAAAGCAAGTCTTTCTATAGCATATGCTAAGAATGTAAATCTTGTTGCTTACAAGGTATTGCTAAAACAAAGCCTAATAAGTCTCTAGATAAGGATAAGCTTGTTAGCATTATACTTGCAGGCTAGCTTGAGGCATTTTTGATTAGAGGTAGCAATTATAAAAGTAAGAGATTCAAATCCTAACCTTTTATATATTACAAATGCAGCGCTAGAAATAGATTAAGTAGGATTAATGAGGAAATTTTTGGCTATGCTTTGACACACAATTTTGTCTTTGAGAAAGCTTGGGAAATGCATAGAAAGGATAGCAAAAACTTAAAGGCAAGTAGTGTGATTTCTCTGCTAAGATAGACCTTTGCTGTCTTTTACCTTGCTAGTAATGCTAGGCACTATCATAATAGAAAGCTATAAAGTGAGGATAGAGAGTTTGGTAAAACTGGTGCATGCTATAGATACCAAACATAACAGAGAAAGCAGCTAACCTAGCCTTTCCTCCTCCTTCCTATGCCTGCTGCTGCTACCTTAGGATATATAATGTCACTGGAAGTGGAGAGTCTAGATTAGTATAGCTGCAATGTTGTCACTATTACACATCTAGCCTAGTCGATTAGTATAAAGATTACTTGATAATCTAACTCCAAATATATATATTAAGGTAACTACAATAGTAATGACTAAGCGGTTTGCTAATTAAGCATCACATATAACTTATTTATAAGCCTACAAAGTAGCTAAGTTATATAATCAATCCTTACCTTATAATTGGCATTTAAAGTTTAAAGGACAAAGGACTTTTCTGCCAAAGGCAACCCTAACCCTAAAGACAGGGTAGCCCTGCAAGTCCAGGGTAGCCTGGCAAGTCTAGGGTAGCCTGGCAAGTCTAGGGTAACCTTGCAAGTACAAGGTAGGTGCAGAAAATCAAACCACCTAAAAACCTTCAAACCCTGTCAAACCACTTGATACGTATTACTACCTTGTAAGTATGTAATCTACGTATTACTACTGATTCAAACAATCAAATCCTACAGACCCAGTCTAATCAGCCAATCCAAGGTATCAAGTTGTTTGATCTAGTAGATTAAGTAAAGCAAGAAGACTGAATTTTACTATATAGTCAGTTAGATTAGCTAGCTGACTTTAAAGTAACATCATCATCAACCATACAATACAACTAGTCTTCTGCACCTTACTTGCCTACCTTACTTCCTGCCTTTCTACTGCTTATAGCAGTACTTTCACTAGTTGAATACTTTGCTTCCACAACCTACCTCTTTGGTTACAACCTAACCTTTTGAAAAGGCCTATTTAGACAAGAGATTTATACATAATGGAAAACCACTTTCTTACAACTATAAAGTCCAAAAATAAAGAAATACCTAAAGCACTACTTGATTTTTCAAATATTACTTTAAATAGTAACGATTTAAGTAATATAAATAATAAAGCTAAGGTTTTAAATAGCAATCCAGTTGATTTAAACCAAAGCCTAAGGTCTACGCCTATTATTGAATCAAGTAATAATAATAGTCTAATAGAAGATAAATTAAATCAAGCAAGTGATATTGAAAATCACAACCCACAACCTTCTACAAGACAAATTAAATATAGTGCTTTACCAAATACAGCAGAAGCTAAAGCTGACAAGCTTATATTAGTAATTACTAATACCAATAAAGAACCGTCAACCTATAAAATAGCTATGAGAAGCCCTAACGCAGCCCTCTAGTTTAAAGGAATGAAAGCAGAAGTTGACAAATTAAAAGCATAGAAAACGTGGGAATTAGTAAACCTACCAAAAGGCTGTAATGTCCTAGGAGGGCGTTAGGTATACAAGTTAAAAACCAACGCAAATAATAAAGTCATAAAGTATAAAGCCTGTTGGGTAGTACAAGGTTTTAACCAAATACTAGGTATTGACTACCTAGAGACCTTTAGTACTACCTATAGACTTAA